ACAGGATAGTTCTAGAAAATAGGTGGCGCCACACCAGTCACGTGACCTCGATGACGCAACAATATTATGAAAATTGATCTTATAAATTAACATAATAGCCACGGATTATGCATAATCTTCTTTGACCTCACCTTACAAGTTACATAATCTAACACAACCTAGCGAATCCATTTTTCCAAGTTATAATATTATGAATCCATTTTTCCAAGAATGATATTATGAAAATTGATTTTATAAATTAACATAATAGCCACGGATTATGCATAATCTTCTTTGACCTCACTTTACAAGTTACATAATCTAACACAACCTAGCGAATCCATTTTTCCAAGCTATAATTTTATTCAACTCTAACACAAGTTATTTTTCTCGGTGTGATCTTTGACTCCGTATAAATTACATAATCAATGTAAGTCATATAATTGCTGGTCAATACGTAATATAAATAACTTTCTTCATCCTGGACGCATATACTCCAATAAAAACCTAAATATGTAACTATTAGTATTACACTTATCATTTTATTCGACTCCACCAATAGCTGTGCTGGGACAATAGTGTTCCACGGTATGGCTGTTGACTCCATACAGATTGCATAATTAACAAAGTCGCTATAGGATATGGATAACTTTTTTTTTTATCCTTACTTTATATACTCCAACGCTTGTCCAAGCATTTATCACATCAAAGAGATATAAACTGTCTGTTAATCTGACTTTCTTTAAATTACCCCCTCCTCCCCACCCATTTTATAAGTGGTAAACTCTGAACACATAATAACAAGTGACTGAATTATACTTATATAAGGTTCACGTGACCGGAAATGAAGCATAGCGAAGATTGAGCTTGTTATGGGAGTATTTTCAAAGTACGGGATGCCTATTTTCTGATCGCTATCTGGCAATCCTTTTTGAACATTATACTAAATCAGCTATGCTACTCACTAGGTATATATTTTAAGTTATCATCTGTCATACTAGTTTGCTTTGATGAAAAGTGATTATTAATTCAATACATGGAAATATTGCCATGGTTATGGTAAGCAATAGAAGTTGTAATTGTCATCGAATTCTAATCTATCCATTCGGTAAATTTACGGTTTAAATGCCGAAAGCTGGCGAAGCATTAGAAATCAGTAGACCTAAAATTTATGATAAAAATCACGTGAAATGAAGGAATTTTCTCAACATTCCTTTTTATTTGTCCATTGCAGATTCAAAATCAGAAGCATCGAAAAACATTTCATTTTCAGATTTGTCTCCCATAAGTCAGTGCTAGGACTGCAAGAGGCCATCTGTTGAATACTAAGATTTTCCAAATGGGTTTGGCGATAAAGAAAAAAAGAGGTACATTTACCGTAACTGTTAAATTATTAAATTTCATATTTAAATAGCTTTTTAGTGAAATTTTTGTGTGCCATCTTCTAGTCCAGCTGCAGAAATCTAGTATTTTATGGATGACATCTAGGTCAGTGACTTGTCTGAGACATAAGTAGAACTAAAAAAAAATGCTATTTTTTACATACTTGTCATTTTGAATTCGAAATTGATGAATTAAGAGTAATGTGGGGGGGGGGGGACGCCTGTATTTTACATGATTTATTTCATAATTTTCAGGCCTATTAGTTGTTATATTGATACATATTTTTTTTGTAATTGTTCCAGTTTCTGTTGTTTTATTTTTGAATTATTTTATGTATACCTGTAATGAAATATACCATGCAGAAATTAGTAAAATCGACTGTAGCAATCAAAGACTTCAATGGAAATATGTTTATGTAGTTGATAACTAGTAATACCTGCTTCTTTTACATATAATGAACATGCTACATCATTTGAAACCTAGAACAGTTGATACATCATCATGTTAACAGAAAATAATTCTGACATTTATTTTCAAAATCATGATTATTTACTTCACTATCAACCTTGTCTGTATACGTGTGTTTGATTTTGGGTATAGAAAATTGTATACTGTATGATGAATATATTTTTTAGATGGAAAATGTAGTTAAAAACTAATATGTAGTATTTATCTTTTAACAACTTTTATCTAAACAGATTTAAAAATTAAACCAAATTTGACCTTTTTCTTGTAAATGTAATATGATTGTTGTATTTAGCAAATTGATGTATACTTTATTTCTATGGGGGGGGGGGGCATCCATCTGGAATTAATGAAAAATCAAAATGGTTAACAATTCCACATCCAGAACTGTGTAAAGATAAAGAACTTAGTTTAACTTAGTCACAATGATTACATTATTGAGGTACGTTTCCTCAGTGGTGTAAAAACCCTAGTCCCCAGTTAACACATGCTTGATTAAGGAACATGAAACTATTTGTAAAGATTGTATTTGTTGCTTACTACACTTTTCATTCCAAAATCAGTTTTGTAAGATAAAGAGAGCTTGTAAAACTAAGAGTTTTAGTATAAAGATGTAAATACTATGAAGCTATGAAAGTTATCAAGATAATGTGGATTTTTGACATTAGTATTTGTTGGAGAACTTGAGAACTTTTTTAAATAATGCAAGTTGTAATTTTTTACCTGTTCTTTTGTAGTCTAACTGCAAGCTTTGATAAGAATATAAAAGTGAAGTTCTTATGGAACCATGGAAGAATTAAAGATGAAAGTTGAACCCTATTCTGATGAGGATCATGATGCTTTAGGAAGTATTCAGCTGATGAAAAATGAAGCGGAAACTTTAACACTAACTGATACTTGTAGTAGTAAGTGTATATTTTATTTTAACATATCTTGCTAAAGTTTTTATCATTTTCTCTGGAAACATACTTTAGCCAAATGTCAGATATTTCCATCATTGATTGAAAATTTCTTATTTTATATAGAGTAAAGTTACTTTATTTCCTGTTCTAAAGATGTGTAACAGTAAGATAAGGATGCAATATTGCCTGATGTGTAAAGTAGAATATGAAATGCCTAAAACTATTGACTGACAGTGGTAATGTATTCTGCATCACCTTCAAGTGGGATCAAACCTGCAATCTGTTGGAAGCTATGGTAGTGCTATAGAAACTGATCTAAAGGCGAGTTACTGCTACATATTCTTGACAGTTTTATTTTTTTATGATAATTTCACTTTTGCATTTTGTAGCCTTAGTAACAAAGGAGAGACATTCCAGGATGCAAGGTGATTACTAACTCAAATACTTACTGCTTGTAAGGCAAGTTTTTAGCAAACTGCAACAATACATATACACCAATCATAATTGAATTTTTATTTTGTGTACAGTAATTAAAATATGTTGTAAAAAAATTACAGTATTTACAAAAATGCTTTAATTCTGACTCCTTGATCTGTTTTACAGTGACATCTTCTTCATCTATTACACATGAAGTATCTTGTAAGCTTGTAGCTTTTATTTCCATTATTATTTCAGAGAGTTTGTTTGTAGTTAAGCACAAAGCTACACAACGGGCTAACTGTGTTGTGCCCACCATGGGTATTGAAACCCAGTTTTAAGCATTATATGTCTGTGGACTTATTGCTATGTTACTGGGGGGTATTTGAGAAAGAGTAAAACAAATCAAAATCCCAGCCAAAAAGGAATGGATAAGGTTTGAAAATGTATGTTGATAATTTTTAACTTTTATTAATGTATCAAAACCATATCTGTTCTAGCACTAGTTCAGTTAACTAAAACATTTTAACCAATTATCACATTTCAGAAAAATGAATTAGTTTTTAACCCATCAGCTGCTGCAATCCTCGTATGAGGTTCTGAGTGTGAGTGTGATTGCCCTTATATGAGGTTCAGAATTCTGTGGTCTATAATTCAAATGTGCGCCAAATTTTGCGACAATAAAGAGTTCCATACATCACGTCGTACTTCCCTCTGTCCATCTATACTCTCCCCAGTACTCAGTTCTCACACATCATGGAGGGTACATATGTCTCTTCCTCTGATAGTGAGCCTGTATCGTCAACTTTGATGCCCATGATTTTTTACTCTGATAGAAATGTTTCATCCCAGGAATCAGAAGACAAGGATTGGGACTCAGATAGTGAGGGAGAATGTTGGGTTCAGGATGTCAAAGTAAGTAGTGATGAGAGGAGGAGACACTTGCCTCTTTTCTTCCACATCAGGCTACCCATGCATCCCTTGTGTGGACCGATATTCATGATTTTGACAGGCAGCATGCAGGTGTGACTGAGTACTGGCCTTATGGTGATGATGCAAAAGAACTCGACTATTTTGAGGCCTTCTTTGACCAAGAATTGATGTCATTTATTTTCACAGAAACCAACAAATATTACAGGTACATAGTGGATAACTTTATCTTCTTGCCTGAGTTCTGCATTCATAGATGAGTAGACATGTGTGCAGGAATTGTATGTATTTTTTGGCCTACTTTTATTGATCCCTCTTATAAAGAAACAAGCTCCAGGATTATTGGAAAATTGACCCATTGATTGGAACCACAATTTTTGGAAAATACATGACCATGAACAGGTTTCTTCTCCTCCTAAGGTTTGTACACTTGCTGACAATAACCATCCATCTGAGAATGATTGAATATGGAAACTTAGAGAAGTGTTTGCTGTGATAACTTCAAGATTCAGCAAATTCTTTTACCCATTCCGTAAGCTAGTGAGCAACGAATCTCTAGATTTCTTCAACGGTAGGCTTGTTTTCAAGCAGCATCAAAATCACATCGATTTAGAATAAAACTTTTTGTTTTATGCTGTTGTGAAACTGGAATTGTCTTAGATGCCATTGTGTATACAGGTACTGACATTGACATCCCCAAAAATGATCCTTCCTGCTTTTATATGACTGCTAACACTAGTAGCTAAACTAGCAACTTTGTCATATCACTATTCATGAGTTGATACATACGTTACAGTTAGTACCACAGGAGAAAAAAGTGCAATGAAATAAGACTTGTTTTGTGTAGATTCACTAGAACCTAATTTGTGAACACAGTATGTAAATAGTGTAACTCTCTCTGGCTACGAATGAAGGTGTTATACACCATCACATGTACTGAGGAACTCTAGTGAACATTTCATGAGTGGTCCTGAGGAACTTCCACCATGCAGCTAGATCCTGAGTATTTCTCACAAAGCATAGAAAACTGTTTCATTGAAAAGATTGGAAAGCTAAGTTTTCACATCTTTAGCCTAAATCTCCAGGTGTTCAAACTAGATATGTTATAGGTGTTACATTGTTAAATATGCACAACTGTTTCATTTAAATTTAATAAGAGAGTTATGATTTAGATAGTTATAAAGCGTGAGTGTTAAATTTAGTATTTTTAGAAGGGACAATTTATCGCAGGTTTGCTTATGTAACTGTTTATGAATCATTTATTGTAAATTGATGTTACTTTACTCGAATCTTCTGAATTTTTCTTGTTGCTTTAAGTGAGTATTGTTACATCATAATGTTTCAGAGTTTGTAGAAAATTCTAGGCCTCAGTAGTAGTAAATAAGTTAGTGAAAGTGAAGTTAGGCCACGTGATTGTGAGTTTAGCCATAAAGAGCATATTGTGGTGATATCTGAAGTAAAATATTGCAGCTTGTATTATAATAACAGAGATAGAAAAAAAATAATTTGTCTAGTCAATTGTGTTCTAAAGTAATTGAACCTGCCTGTGTGGGTCTTGATGAAAAGGAGATAGTTATTTCAAATTCTGGATAAAACTGTGGTAAACAATAGTGGAACAAAGTTTTATACATACGTTTGACTTATTTTGAATATATTATGTTCAAACAAGTGGATTGTATGCTGTCAATTTATTATTGAAATTTATAGCCAACAAGCCACAGACACCTACTGTAAAGGATCTAGCCCTATAAAACCTGACATTATGAGATCCAGCCAGGATTATACAGTGGTAGAAGAAGATGTGAACAACAGCAGAAGTAGGCCTATAGATACACAACTGTAGTGGTGGCAAAAATTGTGTAGGGATTACAATCATGCTATATAACCATGTTGACTGAATTTGATAAATAGATAGAGAGAGGTGAGTGACTTGGGATAAATAATGGTTATCTATGAGAATTTGTTAAATAAGAACTAGAGAGAGAAGAGTGACAACAGAAGAGAGGAAGAAAGTAGAAAAGGAAAGATTGAAATTGAGAGAATAAGAATACAAATTGAGAAAGAAGAAAAAGAAAAGGAGAGACTGGAAATAGAGAGAATATGAGCACAAATTGAGATTGCGTAGCTAACCCAACAGAAAGATGAAGGACCCAAGAATGACAGTTTGGTCAGGGCCAGCCGACCTAAGCGTTCCAAATTTGAGGAACAGAAAGATGACATAAATGCTTTCCTGGAGAGATATGAAAGATTTGCCCAAAGTCAGAACTGGGACAACTGTGAATGGGCAGTCTGTCTCAGCACACTTCTCACAGGAAAAGGCCTACAAGTGTATGTGGCATGACATCAAAAGATGCCATGGACTATGACAAACTATAAGTGGTCTTTTTGTAACATTATGAAATTACTGAGAAAAGTTTTGCCAGAAATTGAGAAAAGTCAATCCTGACACTGGAGAAACTGTATTTCAGTTTGTGGCACATCTGCAGTGATACTTCACAATGTGGACTGACATGGCCAAGTGTGAAAATAGTTTTAAGGGACTAGCAGAACTACTAAATGTGAACAGTTCATGACCATGTGCTCAACTGACCTGTCACTGTTCCTAAAGGAGTGAGCACCAAAAGATGTGGACAAGATGATCAAGCTGGTAGAACTGTATGTGGAAGCCCATGGAGGGAGTATAACTGGCAAGTCCAAGTATAACCAGTTAAAGTTGAAACCAGAGGTGGCTGACCATAAACAGAATATCACCAAAGGTAACAAGAACTCAGCAGACAAAAAGGAGAAGAGATGCTATATTTGTTATCAAATGGGGCATATTATGAATAAGTGCAAGTCTGTCACCAACAATCAGCAGCAGAAATTTCAACATAAAACAGCTGAAGCTACCTACAAAGATAGTTCTGGCAAGAAACAAAATAAGAGTGATTATCACCATGGATACTGCTGCCAGAAGAAACAGAATAGAGACAACATGTCAGATTCACCACAAGAAGGAAGTTCTATCTCCATGATTAATCAGTGCATGACTGATGGTCAGCTCAAGTTAGCAGATGGATCAATAGTGCCAGTAGTGATTGGAGCATGTGACAAACATTGAAAGGGGCCAACAAATCACAACATGCCAGTAGGTGAAGGCTATGTTGGGAACAAGAAAGTCCTACAAGACACTGGGTGCAGCTGTGAGAACCATTCTAGTATTTGATGATCAGATGATGGGCAAGGTACGTTTGTGTGTGCTGATTGATAGGACAGTGACTACAACCAGAGATTCTGTCAAGATGAAGCCCTACCAGTTGCCCTATGCGAAGAGAGACCAACAAGGGAACTGCAAGTGTTGGTGCAAACCATATGAGGAGACTTTGTGCATGAACTGAAAACGGTTTTTGTATGTATTGTAAACAAAATATTGTAAATATTTTTCATGCAGAGGGGCTTATTGTTAGATATACATGACTGTTTCATTTAAATTTAAAACGAGAATTATGATTTAGATAGTTCTAAAACGGGAGTGTTAAATTTAGTATTTTTAGAAGTGATAATTTATCACCGGTTTGCTTACGTAACTGCTTACGAATCATTTGTTGTGTAGTTCAATTGTTGTATATTACTACCAAACAGTAGCATGTTTGGTGAACAACTAGTTAAATTATTATCCATTGCGTATTATGCCATCAAGATGTATGGCAAGTGATTGTCCCAGTCAGATTAATTAGGATAAACAAACTTTGCAAGCATCGGCTTGATAGTTTCTGCCACTCATTCTGCCAAACTATCAGATTGAGGTAATATGATGAAGTGCCTGTTTCCACCAAATGCAACACCATTGACAACTCAGAGAATAGTTAGCCGTTGAAACAAGTTCCCTTGTCGGAGTGAATTTTTTCCGCTGCATCAAATTTAGCCACTCATTGTTCAACCAATATGTGAACTTTGAACTGTGCTGAAATATTTGTCAATAAATAAGCTTCTGCCCACTCGCTGAAATAATCGGTAACAAACAGCACATACTGATTACCTCATTCAGTTTCTCTTAGGTGTCCAGTGATATCCAGAAATATTCTAAGGAGAGAGCCAACAAGTGTTTGCTTGAGTTTACACTGTTTAGACTGGTTATTCCTCTGGACAGTGCACATAGTACAGTCAGACATGGCCTCCTTGGGACCACTAGCTGCAGCATAAGTTGGAAACCAAAAGTTTTAACGATCTACAACTATTACTGGTGTTACTGTAGGTGAAATGTTTGTTGTTACAAACTGTCATATAAATGCTTTATTAATGGTATTACTATGGATGCAGTGTTTCTAGTCAGTTTGTCCTTTATAGTTATTATTTATAGTAACATTGTATTAGTGGCATTACCATAGGTGAAATCTTTCTGGACTGTTTGTTGTTCATGCTGACTATCATATGAATATTGTATTAGTGGCTTTACCATAGGTGAAATGTTTCTGGACTGTTTCTTCATACTGACTATAATATAAACATTGGACCAGTGACGTTACCATAGATGAAACATTTTTGGAATGTTTGTTCTTCATACTGACTATCATATAAACATTGCATCTGTGGCATTACCATAGGTTAAATATTTCTGGACTGTTTGTTATTCTAACAGACTATCATATAAATATTGTATTAATGGCATTACCAGAGGTTAAATATTTCTGGACTGTTTGTTGTTGTTACAGACTATCATATAAATATTGTATTAGTGGCATTACTATGGATGCAATATTTCTGGACTGTTTGTCCTTTCTACATTTATTGTACAAACACTGTATTAATGGCATTGCCATAGGTGACATATTTCTGAGAGGAATATCTACTGGTAATTTTTGACAGAAGTTGAGTGTATAGTTTACTATAAGAACTGAGTCATGTAATTTACTTCCAACAGACTTGTGTTCTAGCTTTAGACATTGTGTATTCCAAGTGAAATCTGGTTGACATAGTTTTATTTCCAACAGACTTGTTCTCGCTTGTTTCTTGTGGTTGGATATTACTTGTCATCCAACCTCATTTTTTCTGTCTTTAAAGAGTAGATGTTTGTGTATAAGAATATAGGTTTAGAAATTGTGTAATCCAAGGAAAATGTAGTTGACCTTGAAAGAAAAGTTATATGGGGATCTGCTTGCCAGACATTTATACAACCAAGACTACACCCACCTCCTCTTTCACACACAGTCATTATGTTATATGAACTGTCATTATGACTTAGTGATGAGTAATAATATTCAAGCTTATTACAGATAAATATACATTATTTATACTTCTAGCTGCAGGAGAAGCTGATTCCTTAGAAGAAAGATCTTCACATATTATTTTGAAGTTTGGTGTAACAAAAAGAGAACAAGAAGAGAACTATGATAGACTTCCAAAGAAGACTGAGGTAATTTATTGAGTAAAAACTCTTACAGTTTGTTTAGAGTAAAATGATTAAACAGTTGTACATTGATTTGTAAGCATTTAAACTCATTGTAAAAGACTTTAAACAGTTAATATTTATCATTAAAACACTATGCAGCAACACTTCAATTATTTTCCTATAGATTTATAAGTATTTATTTTTATAAAAAACAGCCTAGGAATCTTTTCATTTAAGGGATGTTTCAGAACATACCATTAGTTTAAGTAGAACATAATAAAAAAAATAAGTTTTTAGACACTTCATATACAATGACCAAAGTTCATGTTCTGTAGATAAGTATGCGAAGTGTGGCAAGATAAGAATCAACTGTTCAGAGAATTATGGCTCTGTGTGGGAATATAACCAAATGTCAAGGCCCATAATTTCAAACTTTGGTTGTGCCTTACTTAGACATTATTTCATACATGACTAAGAAGAAAATAAAGAAACTATCAAATAGCTATATCCACACAGGTTTAGTTAAAATATGTCTCTAAAACAGAGAGTAGGTTAAAAGTGCTTTTCAACTGTAAAGACAAATAACATCCATTGAATACCTCATTAGTTGTATATTAGTGCACATGTCTGACATGCAACCAGGGATATATATTGGATCAACCATTAAAAGGTTCTGTAGTCAAATAAAAGGACACTGTAATGCTAAAACCTACATCACCAATGGTATTACCAACCACTGTTTAAAGCCTACAACACCAATGGTATTACCAACCACTGTCTAAAACCTACAACACCAATGGTATTACCAACCACTGTCTAAAGCCTACAACACCAATGGTACTACCAACCACTGTCTAAAACCTACAACACCAATGGTATTACCAACCACTGTCTAAAACCTACAACACCAATGGTATTACCAACCACTGTCTAAAACCTACAACACCATTCAATGGTATTACCAACCACTGTCTAAAACCTACAACACCAATGGTACTACCAACCACTGTCTAAAACCTACAACACCAATGTTATTACCAACCACTGTCTAAAACCTACAACACCAATGGTATTACCAACCACTGTCTAAAACCTACAACACCAATGGTATTACCAACCACTGTCTAAAACCTAC